TGAACACTGACTACTTATCATGGTATTCCCTAACTTTACAAACTAGTGAAATGGTTTATTTTATGTGCTAAAGTATCTAAGGTATAAATTTATACCATTTGATTAATCTTCCCACTCAAAAGGAGTTGTGTTAGAAATACCATTGAAGACAGTCATGGTAAATTCCTGTGGTCCCAGTTCCTTCAAGAAGCAGAGTATGAAAGATCAGGTGTTGGAGGTTAGCCTGGGCTACAGGGTGAGTCCAAACCAAAAAATAGAAAATAAAAACAAAATACAGCACAAATTTCATTGAAGCATTGGGTTAATCCTCTGGGTCTCCTTGTCCATAGCATAGAAGGAAATGGATTGTTTATTTTCTTTCTAGTTCTCATTTGACAGATAACCCCCTCTACTTCCAGAACTTTTTCTAATTTTGAGAGGAAAATGAACCCCTGGCATTTAATTATGACATTTGTGAAGGTGGTGGGTAGCGATTATAAACTGAAAGACATGTTTCTTCATATTCTTCTTTACATCAAAATCACAATTTTAGAAATTAGATTAGATTTTAAAAGTAGTTTAAGCGATATCCTCTCCCATCGACACTATGTCACACCACTGCTTCCAGATCTATAACTGTGTGACAGCTATTATATGCTCTCAAGATGTCAGGACACATTCTTGCTTGGATCTGAGAAATCTCTTTGATGATAATCTGACAAATTCCTTAAATTACTCACATATTTGAAGAGAGATCTCATAGCCCCCAGAAAACATACATTTCTCTGATTACTAGGTTCCAGTTCTAACAAAACTATGGCCATGGTCTTTGTAGAGTGAGACTGTTCTTTTAAGAAATGCACAATGCTGATGCAGACCAATCATGTGGTTTAAAAGTAAAATATAATTTTAATATTTGAAATATTGGATATGTTTTAGTTTTTAAAATGCCATGGTGCATCCAGTTGTGTCCCCTAGAAAAGCAGTGGGATATTCATTAATGTAAATAATCATTATTACTTTAGAAGCAATTAAGGAATTACCAGAAAGAATCAATGTAATATTTTCAAACTATGCACTGTTAGAATCATGGGCAATTTATCTAACTTTTTATCTGGAGTCTGTTTTATAATCAGTAAATGAGTTTGGTCAGAGATAAAAATAAAATTATATGTTAAAGTACTGTGCTTAGAATAAGGAACAAGTGTTCGTTACATCTGAAGATCCAAAGTGGTGGACAAACTTTATGGCAGAAGGGTGGTACTGCAAACCTGCTCACCTCATAATAGCTGGGAAGCAAAAAGAGACAGGAATGGGCCAAGGTCCCCATATATCTTCAAGAACAGGTTCCTGGTGACCTTGCTTCTGCAGTTCAGCTTAAGCTTCTAGAGTTTTCAACACCTCTTATCAGTTCCAACAGCTAGGGACTACCCCTTCAAGATAAGAGTATCTAGAGACCACTTGAGCTCCAAACTACAGCAGAGTCATTTAGGAAAACAACCAATATCTGTTAGTAAATAGCTCTAGCAAGGTGTGTTTGTAGGCTTGAGATGAATTATTGCCCATTTACCCAACGTGCTTACCATAATGTCGTCGTATTTCAAACTAAGCCTTACATGGCTCCTGCTTTGAAAGAGGTGGTTCATAGCCTCTATTATCCCAATTCCTACCCTTGAGTTTTAATGGACCAATGTTTCTATATAATTTCAATAGACCTGGAGTCATTTGATGAGAAAAGGTCTCATGCTGACAGATGACACAATTTCATTTAAGGATGTCATATGTCCCTTCTGTCCCCTCTCACAAGTCCATGCAGAAATTACCAACCTATCAGGGTACTCCTACCAAGCACAGCTCCAGCCTGCGATACTTAGCAAGATCTCCCGAAAGGAAAAAGAAACATAAATGTACCTTCTATACTTGCGTGAGAGTATGTTCCCTGAGGAAACAGAACTGCTCTCAATTATCTTTGCCTGTTTTCCCAACAACAAGATTTGACTAGATGATAACTGTAGCATGAATCTTAAAAGTTCTTATTAATAAAAACAAACCTGAGCCAGGTAGTGGGTTGAACGCTGGAAGATCAGAGAGACAGAACAAGCCACAGCTAAGCTCACCTGGCCAACTTCTCAGATGATCTTGTTTCCCCAGACTGGTACTGGAAGCTTTTGTGTCCTCATCCCAATGGCTCTCAGCTGAACTGCTGCTCGAAAGCCTTAACCAGCTAAAAGCTTAACCAGCCAAGTGCTTAACCAGGTCAAATGCTTCTAGTTTCTGGTCCTCATGCTTTATATACCTTTCTGGTTTCTACCACCACTCCCTGGGATTAAAGGCTCATTTTCTGGGATTAAAGTTGTGTGTCACCATGCCTGGCCGTTTCCAATGTGGAATTGAACACATTGATCCAGAGGGATTTCTACCTCTGGAGTACTATGATTAAAGGTGTGAGTGCCACCATTTTCTAGCCTTTGTATCTAGTGGCTGTTCTGTCTCTGACCCCAGATAAGTTTATTAGGGTGCACAATATTTTGGGGAGCACAATACCACCACAGATAACTACACTTTTTTTTTTTTTTTTTAATAAAGTCAGTTTCCTTAGTGGGAAAAAAATGAAGACCAAAACACCTTATCAAAAGTATTTTTATCTGCCGGGCGTTGGTGGCGCACGCCTTTAATCCCAGCACCCGGGAGGCAAAGGCAGGCGGATCTCTGTGAGTTCGAGGCCAGCCTGGGCTACCAAGTGAGCTCCAGGAAAGGCGCAAAGCTACACAGAGAAACCCTGTCTCGGAAAACCAAAAAAAAAAAAAAAGTATTTTTATCTTGACCCCCAAAGAGAAACAAGGTAAAGTTGTTGAAATGGTTAAATGTCCAAGGATATGGAAACCTTCGCTTGGATACAAGCTAGATCACATACCCATCTGTAACTCTGCTATAAGAAATATATTCCTTGATCACGGTATCTCCCCTGTGGGCTCTGCTGACTCCCCATGGGAGACCTTGATTTGGGGAATGTGGGGATATGGGGTGGCTTGGAAAAGAGGGCTAGAGGGTGGAAGGAGGGAGGAGGGGGAATCTGTGGATAATATGTGGAGTGAGTAGAAAATTTCTTAATAAAGAAAAATGAAAGGAAAAAAAGAAATGTATTCCTAACTTATGAAGTTATATGCTAGAGCCTGTCTCTATTTTGTACCCAGTCACATTCTACTTTAAACAGTTCAAATAGTTAATAATTTCCAGATGTTATAGTCTGATAAGAAAACACAAACAAAAAATGTTTATTCATCTTCATACTTTCTGCACACACTAACACTTTCAACATAAGTGTTCCTTCATAAGGCGCTCTCATTTCTTCATAAAGCCTGTTCCCTGAGTCTCTGGGATCTGAATAGGGACTCCTCCACTCATCTCCAGAGCTCTAAGTGCTACCCATACCAGTCACATGACAGTGTTCTTAATTGCTAAAGCTAGCAGTAGGCATTTTAATTATACCTTAATCATTTATTGCAGACAGTTTCTATCCAGAAAAGGAGGTCTTGGGAATCATTCACTACCAAGTACTTGTTGACTTTTGGGGATTTGGCAGGCTGGAACAGAATTTCTGAGAAAGTATTATGTGGACGTTCCAAAGAAAACAGCCTGTCTGAGAAGATCCTCTTGAAGGCAGTTCATTTGGGACCAGGCCGGCGGTTTAATCTTGGATTGAGAGCTCACCATCAAGACTCATGGAGATATCTGTAAGTGCACAGCACACCTATGATCACTCTCAGCGACTGCTCCCGTTTGTTAAGTGAGGACTCAGTAACTGCAGAGGGGTTGGGACTCATCCCACAGCTGCTGTGGACTCTGAGTACATTTCTATGCCAGGACGTGCTAATGACTCACTTTCCTTAATAGAACTTTCATGAGGCTGGAATTTGGGGATGGCTGTCTGGAGAATGTCTGAGAGGAAGTTCCCAAGCCACTGTCCTGGTTTATGGTGAAGAAAGCTTCCTGTGGTAACCAGAGCAGTCAGCAAAGGCAAACAGCGACATATTCCAGTAATGCTTCCTCAGTGCTTTCCATAAACAGTTCATGAAAGATCAGCATGAAGGCATGAAGTTTAGCATAGTCAGGCAAAGGACATCACAAACTTCTGAAGGAATTCATCAGTGGAAAGCTGAAGGTAGCATATTTTAGCAACTGTATCCATGTGGAAACAGAGAGTCTATCCTAGTGAATTGCTCTGGTCCAGAGAGAATGTCCAAAAAAGAAAAAAGTGAGTGTGTGTGTATTGTGTGTGTGTTTGTGTGTGTGTGTATCTGTCTGTCTGTCTGTGTTTGTGTGTGTGTGTGTGTGTGTGTGTGTGTGTGTGTGTGT